TTATTGAGCTGAATATAAGTACCTTTAATCTAAGATTAATAATTAGCAACAAAAAAATAATAATTACTCTTAAAATAATTCCTCTGCTGGGATATTATGTAAACCATTGTTGTTACTGGTTAAATCAAGCTCAATATNNTCTTATTAAGACAAAGTTAGATAGATTGTCCAGATTCTAATGCAAACCATGCTTGACAATATTTTCTTGTTAGACAAAAAATAAGACTCATTTCCCAGAAACAAGGCTATTTTTACTTTCTTGAGATTCCTGTTTTTTAGTGCATGCATTGTGTGGTGATTAGTCACTGTTGTTACGCAGTTAAAATGGAGAAAAATAGACTTAAAAGGTAGAAATACACTTTAGGTCTTTGCTGTTTGAACCCATCATAAATAAGCCTTGTTTCTTTCACTAGTAGACAAAACTTAGTGGGCAAGAATTTGCCGAAACAACGTGACGTATTCTAACCAAAGTGCTTTATTTATACATTTCTTCAGGTGAATATTTTAAGTTTACACCAGTTCTTGTCATGATGGAGCAAAACCGAATTAGAAGGGGCTGTTTGCCCCGCGGAGGCAACAGGAGCCGCTGTGGTTGTAGCTGATGTATTATTGTGACCGTGTAAACCTTTCTGTGTGTCACGACCCTGAAGGGGCAGCGGACGAGGGCAGAGGGGTAGGTGGAAGGTAAATGGAGTGGAGGTGTGGATGATGTCAGAGCAGAGAGGATCATGGGAGATTTCACCTGCCTCAGTTCGTCTTTCTGCTTACGTCACATCAGTGTTGTCCAGTGGTGTTAGATCATTGGATTTTAGTGTCTCCGCTATAGAGGCTACTGTTGTAAAATACTGTTGGACTCATTTGTTACCGAGCTGTCTTGTTTTTGGCCGCTGAATTTACATTAATCCTGCCTTTTTGAACCCTCTCTTGACCAGACATCGCGCTGGCTTGCGCTTCAGCTTGAGAATGTGATATATTTCGGTTGGTGCCGGACAAGTATTGACATTCAATATATACATATTCAGACATGATGATATTTAACCCCAGCACTGCTGAAAACCTGCTGTGTTGTTGATTGATTCAGGTACAAATCTGGACTTTTAAGTATTTGAATTTGACATATTTTGCTATAAAAATGCACAGTGGAATTTACGGGCTTGCTCAGACTTTAACAGAAATGTACAGCCTCGATATCGTTAAAATCTGGAATAAGTGTCTAAAAAGATCAAAATCCCTTTTTAAAAAACACATGTTCAACACACAGTCCAACTGAATTGTCGCATCCAATGCTTTCTATCTACATCCTATGGCCCTCATCAGTGTTGTTGTTCTGTTGCCATTGAGATGGTTGGTTATTATCATGTGACCTACAGTAAGTGTGGTTGAAAGCTCTGAAAACAAATCCGTACGTTGGACCTTTTGCTGATCACTCGAGGTCCTGGCTCCTGTCATCCTCCTCCTCGTCCTCGAGCAGTTTTTTTCCGAGGCTGTGACCTCGAGTCCTCGGGGTTCAAACGGAAAGCACCACTCTGGGATGCGGGACGGGAAGCTGAGGTCACTCCGAGAGAAAGCGAGGTTGAGAGGAATGAGGGAGAGTAAACATGAGGTCAGCAGCAGAGATGAGGTTGAGGGAGAGCGAGTGTGAGACTCTCCGGCACCAGAACCCCCACCTGAAAAACAACAACAGCAGCAGCCCGTCTAAAATCAGAGCTGTTTACCTGCTAATAATAGAGCCACACCAACAGGCTGCCAGCTCTCCCCTTCCTCTCATCACCTTCCCCACACTCGATGCTTTGCTGTGGGGCAAGAGGCGGCGATCTGGAGGTGTGGCCACCAGGTGAGCTCTCCTCCTCTTCCTCCTCTTTAGCCCTGTTTCCCTCGTTGTTAGAGGACTTTGTTCTGTTACAAGAACAGGGAGGAACTTTCCAGGGCATTACTCAGCTCGACAGAACGGAGCGAGAGGTTATTGACCTGCTGTAATCACCTTTTTATTTCTCGTCTGGTGTTTCCTTTCTGGTCAGCACACGACAATCCCCTCGCTCGCCGTCATGTTCGCACCCTGTGGCCACTTTTGTACCTTTCCTAAAATACAGAGAAACAGAGTACGGAAGCCCTTCTCTGCCAAAAACATAAAAAAAAAAACTTAAATCAACATTTCAGGTTTGTTCACTTTTATTGTTAAATAACCAATAAAGTGGTTTAAAGCTTGTTTTTAAAGTTTGGATTCATACTACAACCACAACCACACCTCTTTTATCCATCACTTTTAATTGTATTATTCGGACTTTTCTGCTGCCTGCTAACTAGTTCTCTCGCGCTCTCAATCACAGCAGGTGCCGTTTTTTGGTTAATGTGATAATGAATATACTTTACAACAGCGTCACACCAATTTATAATCTTATGTGTGTTTATTTTCCCCCTAAACACAAATATGAGGAGTTATATATGTATCTTTTAGTAATTTAATCCCAGATGTTAGAAATTGACTTAATGCACACTATGTTATTATTATTGACGACCCAGGTTCTAATAAAGCCTGGAGAAATGTATCCACACTTTCACTTCGGTCAGCTCCTTGTCTGTGTTTTTATATCTGTGTATTCTGAGCTCTGAATCGTTTAACTGCATTTACATTTGAGGTTTTATGGAGCTGCTCAGTTCTGCAGCTTTGAAGCCAATAAATCAATAAACAATAAAAAAAGAAATAATCAGGTGCATGAACTTGAAACATCAAAGTGTCCTTTTGACACAGCTTGGTGTTTCGGGTCTGTTTGTTTTACGGCCCTGCTGTGGGAGTCACATGTCCGAGGTGTGATGCAGGGTGTGTCGGGGCTGCGATAAGCCTCTAAATCACAGCTGACCACAGGTAGAACAACTGAAACACACACCCGCTCCGTCAACCACAAGTCTGACAGATAAGGGTGCGTGTAAACTCCTGCGACATTATGCAAACGCACGGCCGACGCGTAGAAAAACACCCGCTGTTCACTAAATCCTTCTTCTTTTTTTTCCCCCAATGGCGAGGACAAACTCTCCAAATTAGCTCCTCAAATATTGACCGGGAGAAATTGGTGGTCTCTCGCTCGATGTCAGGGCAGAGGGGCTCCTAAACACACTTTGGTCAGGTTTCGAGGTTTTGCATTGATTTATTTTTGTTATTTGTTTGTTTAAATATCGTAAAAATAAATGTAAATGCTCTGGTGAGGCTTAGTTCTGCTTTGGGCACAGAGAAACCAATGTGCTGAGGAGGAGAGAAAGCAACAGAAAGCCCACCTTATTCTCTCTTTTTATTCACTCCCCCCCTCCTCTCCTCTCTCTCTGGCTGCCAACCAGCTCACTTCAGATTATTTGATCTAAAATGTTGAGCTCAATTTGTTGAATCCGGCTGAAGAGCTAAAATCTTATTTGATAGTTTAAAGGCCATCTTATCCTCTCTACGGAAGCCCACTCCTGCCAAAAAAAACAAATGGATGGACGGTTTTGTGTGATTAAAAATACTGATGCTGAATCAAAATTATGAGATAGTGCTGCAAGTGGAAGATAAATTGGAGGGTAGCGATCAATAAATACACTCTCAGCCAATCACATCACTGCTCTCGTCACTTGGAAACAGCTGAGCCAATCACAGACGAGCTCAACAGATTGAAAGAGGCTTCATCAGGAGATCATATTGTTGGTTTTACAGTTAGTGCAGTGAGGACAGAAATTAATAATTATCTTAAAGTTTGCTGAAGCCGTTTATGTAACTGCTTATTCCAGTCATAATCCTGATTTGTAATTTTAAGCATTTCAAGAATAAAACATAAAACATCACTGGAGAGGAGGAGGCTGCGACGCACAGGATTAATGAGCTCCATTAACTCGACGTCTCCCGCCTGAACAGCAGAAGGGTTGTAACCGAGCCATCTGATGTGTAAAGAGGTGTGTGTGGTTATTCTGTAGCAGCCTGGTGTCGTGCTCATGTGATTTAATGACGTTAAACACAGTGGACGCTTGTGCATTTTATGTTGTTTTTTTTAATGCCAATTTCTACTCACTGGTGAGTTGTTAATTAAAGCTCCAGTGTGAAACATTAAGGAGGCTCTATTGTTAGAAATGAAACATAATATGAGTAACTATGTTTTCATAATCACCTGAAAATAAGAATTGTTATGTTTCCGTTACCTTAGAATGAGCCGTTTTTATCTACAGAGGGAGCTAGTCCTCTTCTGCGGGTCCGTCATGTTGAACCGCGTTGTTTCCACAGTAGCCCAAAATGGACAAACCCAACACTGACTCTAGATACTGCTGTTCTTGGTTTTTGTGCATTGGTTTGGGGAGTACCGCATTGAAGCCTCGAGTTAGACGTTATGGCCTTCGCCGTGACAGACGGAGCCAGCGGAGGTGACATACTGCAACTAGAGCTGCTCTCATTGGCTTAAACTAGAGATTGAGACCATAAACTCATTAGGAATCTGAGCTCATAAATCAAGAGAGAATTCTGCTCATTTCTCCATTACAGTGAATGGTATCGGTTTTTATTGCAGCCAGTGGAGCTCCCCCTGCTGGCTTTTACATAGAATGCAGTTTGAGGACACTTCTGCGATGGTTGCACTTCATAAACCCAGAAGCTCTGTCTATTATATATACTGTCAGTGGCTTGGAAGGGGAGGGTGAAGCAAGGGAGTTGTAATCTGAAACTACACTGCTAGATG